CAGTGTCATTAATTAATCTTACACTGTATGTGCAATCGCATCTTGGAAGTGTTTAGTTGTCACAGACAAAAGTATAACCACCATTAGCTCTATATCTGCATTAATCCTCACATAAACTTTATCAGTACTATCAAAAACCCTTTAGCTAAATGTTTGAAAAAAAACACAATCTAAAACTAATAAATATGTTGAACACTTGAAACTTATCGATTCAGTTTATACGTGTATTAGTTCAGAAATATATTTCCAAGAGTTTTATTGAGAAGAAATGATGCATTCAGTCAAACAAATTAGGTGTAAAGATTTTGATGTGGTTGTGTTCTCTGAGATGGATAGTTCATTTGCGAAGCTTTCATCGCCCTCCTAGGCGACATCTTTAGCGCATACTTCAATTTGTTGAAGTGAGCTTTCAGATTTCTCCACGAGTTTATTAATCATCTCTCCTGGTGACTGGGCCTTGGACGTGATTGGTTGATTTTGTGTGTTTTCACATCTTCTAGGTTACTTGTATTGGAACTGGTTGTTTCTTTATAGAAAATCAACTTATACCGACCAAATCTTGAATGACAACAGCAACAATCCAATAACACACAAAAGGAATCGCATACAAACACTATTCAAGAGGGCAAGGACTCATTGCAGCACTCCTACCTTGAAGAAAGTTCAAGAAAAATATCTCATGGACGTCTTCCAAAAGAATGGATATCCACGGAATTTCATCAAAAGACATATACCCCCAAACCAACCTATCAAACCATAAGCCCACAAGGAAAGCACAAATAAAATCGCCTTACCATATATAAACGATATCTCAAATCACTGCAAGACTCTTCAAACCTTTAGGAATCGACGTCTTACACAAACCAACAAAGTGACTTTACTGAGTTCTATGTCGACCAAAAGATTCAACAACGAAAGAAGATAAAACCAACGTCATCTGCAAAATAAACTGTAACATTTGCGAAAAACACCACATCGACCAAAGTGGACGTCCCCTTCGTCTTCGTATGCACGAACACAAGCTAGCCGTCAAAAGACATGATATCCACTCCCTCATATCACTACATACAGACATCCATGGATATCAATTCCATTGGGAAAACGTTCAAATATCAGACAGAGGAAATAACAAGAATGCTAGAGAATTTTTAGAAGCCTGACTGGTATTCCAGTGAATCATCAATCAATAGACACATCGAGATAGACAAACTTTATCAACCGATAAGAAAGAAACTTCACGCACAAAGGGTCAAAGTTCAAGTCAAAGAAACAATCAGTTCCAATACAAGTAACCTAGAAGATGTGAAAACACACAAAAACAACCAATCACGTCCAAGACCCAGTCACCAGGAGAGATGATTAATAAACTCGTGGAGAAATCTGAAAGCTCACTTCAACAAATTGAAGTATGCGCTGAAGATGTCGCCTAGGAGGGCGATGAAAGCTTCGCAAATGAACTATCCATCTCAGAGAACACAACCACATCAAAATCCTTACACCTGGGCTACGAATCTTCCCAATCATATCTAGGTGTAAGGATAGATACGACACTGGATGACAGTGACGTTACATCATTAGATAATAAAGTTTGGTTAAAAAGCCCCACTGAAGTCTGATTAAACGCTTCATTATTTAAGATAATCAATTCGTAAGAGATTTAAATTCTTCTTCTACAGCCATTAATGTGTGGATCATAAATTGACACGAAAACGTCATTGCTTAATGCATACATATGCCTTGTGAATTGTTCAAAATACAATAATTAGGGTTGAACAAATAGAAAATTTAAATAGGTAGAAAAATGTTGTTTTAATTCTACTGCTGCTTAATGCAACTCGTGACATATAGACCCATTGATTCATAAGGAAAAACGCAGTTTTTGTCCAGTGAAGAAATATTTATTCTCAATGACTTCATTTTCAAGCCAACTGCACAGTCGTATTTATATTACGGGAAAAGGCATTACGTGGCACCAGAAATAGCTCAGTCAATATACACATGGTATACTCATTCACATGTTCGTGTGGAGTTGATTACATTGGACGTTGCAAGCAGGTTCTCCGTAAATGCGTAGCTGAACATTTCCTGGTTTGATTAGTGAAAGGAGAGCAAAAGACGTCAAAGTCTTCAATTTGCGAACACCTTATGGAGATAGGTTATTCAGCCTCAAGTGATTTATCCTTTAAAGGTATCTACAGGACCAAATCCGACTACTTCAAAAGCTTACGTTTTCTCCACTTATGCATGGCAGACGTTCTGGCTATGCATGGACAGAAACCTAAATTTTGTGTCTAAAAACGTCCTGTTAAACCCTGTCAATGTTGGTGAACATTGAATAGTTTCTTTATTCAAATTGGTCTATATACTGGCAGGAGACAAGAAGGCTGTCACTGCTTATTCATGTATTGGTTGGCGTAAGATTGGAGAAATACGATCAAAAGTATTGTTGTATATTATTTTGATGCTTATTTAAAGAATTTGGCATCGATTAACCATTATAAATCTGTTTCGTTATCGCTTGAAGAATAAACAATCTCTGTTGTCCAGCCGTTTTCTGTTCCTCTGCGTGGTTTACAGTGCATAGTATTTTGAGTATGAGGCTTGATCTTCTGAAACCAGCGATAGATCCAGGATCTTTACCATATTGATATTTGATAAACCCCTTTCTTTACTTTGGCCATCACAATATTATTTTTCATATATTATGCTATCATTTGAATTCATTCCACCTTAGTTCATTCATTCACATTCTTCATTGATATAATCACCGCACTTTGATTTTTTTTTGAAAACATTTGACCTGCAGTTTTAAAATCTTAATACTAATTCACTTATTGAATTATTATTATTAATTATTATATCCTTTAATTCCTAGAGGAACATAGGGCTTCAGCTGAGCGTCTCAATTGCCTTCAGTTTTCTGCCAACTTATTCACCCCGCTCCAAGTCTGTCCACATGCTTTCATCTCCTCTTCACATGACCTCCTCCAAGTTACCCTTGCACTGACGACCAACTCGCCACTTCCCTTTCGGCCTGGTTCCACTCGGGCAATGGCTTGTCTAGTGATATCACTTGATGGTTTCCTCAGTGTATGGCCAATCCATCTTTAAAAATTTTGTAATTCATCCACCTCAACTATAACATCTTGGTACATCATTTTAATTATATTTATTCTAATCGTATGTATATTGATTGAGTAATTTCTAGTGTCATTAAAGGTTGTTGAACAACAACCTTTACTACAGACAAATCGACGGCATTGCCATGGGTTCTGCATTGGGGCCAATTTTGGCAGATTTCTTTCTTGTTAAGGTTGAAAATGGTCCATTGAAACAAGTAATAGAAAAAAAATGATTCTTATTTTCGCTATGTTGATGATACGTTTATTATTCTTGATGTGAAAGCTGACAAGAATGAAATGCTAAAAAAAGTTTAATGATGTACATCCATCGCTCATCTTCACTTGTGAAGAAGAATATGATGGTAGATTACATTTTCTGGACGTCCAATTGAGCAGAAGAGAGGATGGTTCACTGAAGAGAGATGTCTACAGAAAACCTACATCTGTAGGACAATATACACATTTCCTCAGTTATGTACCAATCCGATACAAAGTTAATTTGGTCAGATGCCTCACGAATACAGCAAGATGTAACTGTACAGATGACTCCTTAAAAAATGAATTAGGATACATCCAAAATACGTTGGTCCAAATAGTTATCCTAGTAGATTTGTAAGGAGACACATGAACACCAAATATAATAAAGAGAAACTAACAGCGGTTGAAAAGAAACATCGTTATTAACTACGTTCAAAACATTTACCACATTATTATTATTTGATCCACAAAATCACCGTCATTGGTTAAAAATTTTTATATATAAAACTATGTAAGTTAGAGTAAAGTCTGATGAAGATCTAACTGAAAACAATATCGTTCGCTTATATGTCTTGTTCTAATATATATATATATATATATATGCATAAAATATTCTAGAATAGTCGTCGTTAACAACATTGGTGTTTTTAAATACTATCGGCGTCGGTGGTACGGTGGTAGAATGCTCGTCAACCACGCATGTGCTTGGAGATTCAATCCTCGGCCAAGGCACTCCCACACCTCGCTAAGCCAGTAGTAAGACTGGTAAGGAAAAGAGCTTGAGTATGAGGCGAGCAACCGCATCTCGCCAAAATAAACTGCTACGGAAACTCCAAAGCTGTGGCTTAAAGTCCTATGTTCCACTGGGAACATAAAGGAATAAAAATAATAGTACTATTAATCCGTTATGTAACATCAATGGAATTACAGTTGACTAAAGATACATTAATTAGAATAAGCATAAAACTATAACAGCAACTACAGTACCAAACAAAATTAAGGAAATTTCTACAACAAACTGAGGATCATTAAAACCTCGATGGCTAAAGTAATGACATTGTCTGAACCAACTGCCTCTGGATACATCAGTTAAGTTTCTTAATGTATATCCCAACTGCCTTACCAATATGTAGTAGACGAACTCTTAAGGTGAAGTTAAGGTTTATTTGGTACGCGCGATCGATGACTTTGAAAGCCTCACTAACATCAGTCTTGTGTTCTGTATCCACAAGATAAATGAATGAATTTTGTTTTTTCCTTACTTAACTTGGATTATGAATTTTTGTAAGGTTCTGGATAAATTTCAAGGTAGACTTCGTCATAAACTGACATAAGTAAGAGAGATCACTGAAAACCTGGGAGTTAAGTGACTGAACGGTCAGCGAGCTTGGTGTCGTGACCTGAAGGTGATGGGTTTCGCCCCTCGTAGGATCTTGGATATGCACTGTTGAAAAGTCCAAAACTGGGACAGAATTGTCTTCGAGTTATCTCTCTAACAGATTTCCGCTCATGATGAAGTCCACATTGAAAAAATAAAAGACCAAACATTTTGAGTTCATTAATAACAAAATTAGTACAATAAAAATTATTATTTATACAGGTTATTAAACATAAATTTACCCTGCTATACCGATGATATATTGCTCACGTGTACCATTCATCTAAAGTGTAGACAAAAAAATTTTGGAAAACAAATTATTAAAAAGTTTCAAGTTAACCATCATAGTTTTAAACTTCATATCTGTTTGAATTTTCATTTAACATTTTTATGATAATAATAATAATAACATAATAATAATGAAAGCTTCATCCTACACAAAAGGTTTACGCAGTTGTGGTATTTTTTATTCGTCTTCAAGATAAGCCCAGCGACAGGCTGAAAGCTAATTCAATATATGCGTCAGTACATCTGGCGACTCAGTGGATATAATTGGTTGGTATAAACAAAGAGAAATAGAGAAAATCGTATGCACTGTATTAGATATGAATATAAAAACACGCCGCTGTAGATCAACTAGCTATTCATTTTCGATTAGCTTTTAAAAGAGAATTCACTGAATTTCGAATGCAAGTGATAAGATGTAACAGAACGTACCTATGACGATAGTCATTGACCTATTTTTTTCCTTCATGTTCCGCAGTGGAACATAGGGTGTCAAGCTAGTGGCTTGAAGTTTCTGTAGCAGTGTTTATTTTACTGGATGGGGTTGCTAGCCTTATGCCCAACCTTTCCTAATTACCAGTATTATTTCTGGTTTAGCGAGGTAAAGGAGTTCCTCGTCGGCCGGGAATCGAACCCCGGACCGTTTGCATGGTCAGCGAGCGTCCTATGCTTGTATAGAATAAAAGTCAGACTATACCACTGATCACATACATGCATGCATCATGAACTGGTAGTTTTGAGGTCGATCACTTATGGAGTGCTGTGCATGTTGTGCTGAAAAGTTTAAAAGTCGTGATAGAGAAACAACTGTTTACTTTGATTGGACACTAGCCAGTAACTAGTGTGATGTCTAGTCCTTGCTTTCGTCCATGTTGAATTCTTTAAGTCACCTCTGTAATATGGCCACCACTCTATTTGGGACTCGTCAGCTGGATGTAATTGCATTTCCCAGTGAGTGATGATGTTCCACCGAGGCTCGAGGCATTTAAAACTATGGACAGTTGGTTGGAGCCTTGGTGGGAACATCATTACTCACTGGGAAATGCAAGTACATCCAGATGACGAGCCTCAAGTGGGACGAAATGCGCATCCTGGATTCCACTGCTAGTCACCATCCACAAATCAAATTTTAATTAAATACCCTGACATCGTCGAAGCATCTGCACAAGAAGCCGACATGTCAACCTGAGACCGAGCACTTCGGTCCAATCAATCGACGGGAAAATCAAAAATTCAATTCAATAATTAGTTTTACTCACTATGTTACATCATCGTCTTTTCCAATCTTATGAATTCCAATCCATGTATTTTCTTATCTATGTCTAACCAGTTATCACTGGCTTATTACCGTCCCAACTTTTCACAAGAAACTTCGCTCTTATGAAATACATACATGTATATTTTCAAGGTTTTGTAGGGTTTTTTTGTTTTATTGGTTGAGGGATTTCATTATGAGCTGACATCAGTTAGGGAACCGTTGGAAAACCAGTGCTGGAGTACTGGAAAGCTGTTTCATCAGCCTGGTTTTGGACTCTTCATCAGTATGCACCTACAGAGAGTCTCAAACCAGGCTAACGAAACAGCTGTTCAGTATTCCCTGCTGGTTTTCCAATGGTTCTCTAACTGATGTCAGCTCATGATGAAATCCTGCAACATATATGTGTAATTGTAATTTAAAATAACCTTATTACCCTTATACTTCCCCCCCCCACTGTGGCTTTCTGATAGTAACTCCTTACTAGAGGATCGATTTATTTTTTAAATTTCATTTCATTGCTTTTTACTTTCCGACTGGAACGTAGGGCTTCAAGCTAGATGTTTGAAGTTTCAGTAGCAGTGGTGTTTATATTTTACACGATGGGATTGTTAGCCTCATGTCGGTGAAGTTTATGTATCATAGACAAAGTCAAGGTCTTTCCAAAAAGTTGACATTCAAGAACTGATCAGACACAAGGGAATGCTATGAAAAGTTAATTCCAAATCAAGTCATGCCTGCCTTTTTGAACTTGGAGAGGATAGATACAGCATTTTTCTGTAAATCTGTACTGTGAGATAGGGTTATAGCTTCTTTGATTAAGGTTTAGTGTCTAGGCTTAGGAGTTAGGATTATGATTAGAGTTAAGAGTACGTTGAAAGACACTGTCAGAAATATCAATGGATCTCAAATTACCATGACTTACAGTCATCTCAATGAATGCATCTATTACGTATGGTATAATTTCTCTATATAGATCATCTTTGCAGCTATTGGGAGACATTCCTCCAACATACAAGCGACAGCTATATAGTGTAATATCATGTTTGCAAAATTATTAAGTGTATTTTTCAACGACTACACGACTTATTTGCATCACAGTTCTGATTATTTGTTCAAGGTCATTATGGTTTTGGCTATTGATAATTTAACTTTGCCTTTACACCCAACCTTCGAACTTTACCGGTCTTATTAGCAGCTTAGCAAGGTTTAATAGTACGTCGACAATGGTGGTTAAAACCCTGAACCACATGCTCGGTTGGTGAGCATTCTACAGTTGTACCACTGACGCAATCACAAATAATTCATGATAGCAAACAAAATGCAGGTTAAAACTGTATGATAATTGATTTTATTAAGCATTACAGACAGATTGTACGCAGTTGACGACAACAGACAAAATAAAAATGTATCCATATTATTCTATGCCAGTTATAGTTCTATATCCGTTCGAATAAAAAAGTGTAACATTCTTAGTTGTATTGCGTCATAAATGAAACAGGAAGACTAATTAAACATGTTACCTTAATTAGTAAATAGTGACTATATGAGGCATAAATTATTCAAGAAAGAAAACAGTGTTGTAATGAACAGACTAAACGGAAACAACACATATCAAGTGTTGTATTCATTTAAATCATTTTCAAGAAAGCAATTATATACAGATTATTCTTATTTCTCTAAGTTACAGTTTCGTCGATGATACAGCAATAGAATATATACTAACCACACCAAATATGGTCCAAGTTCAGTCCCCGATCGACTGACTGCTGAAAGTCAGTTGATAGTAAGCTATGTAAAGAGGGATTGTTGGCATGAGACTAACAGTCTCACCTCATAAAAGACAAAATCACTGCTACTGGAACTTTAGAGCCGAAGATTGAAGCTCTCTGTTCCACTAGGAACACAAAGGAATGAAACTTAGAAGCTAAAAAAACAATAAACTGTCGTCGCCGAAGAATCAGTAAACACCGAAGAATCTTTTATTGTCATTTCTCTGAATAATACAGTCCTTTCAAAGATACGAAGAACTGTCATACTGAGTGTATGTACTTCAATAAATCTATTTACCTTGGCTGAAATACAGTTTAAGTACTCTACTGAAAAAAAAAGTATTGGTTTTGTAGGGATTTTTGTTTGATTGCATGGAGGATTTCATCATGAGCTGACATCAGTTAGAGAAACACTGGAAAACCAATGCGTAGACCATTGAGCCACTGGGACCCGATCCTATGGTCATTGAATTCTAACTTCTGCCAATTCACGACAAAGCGTAACCACTTTGCAATGTCTTCTTCGATGAGTAACTGCTTCATCTTCAACTTGCTGTACCCTACTGGTCACGGCTTCCCTCTAGAAACAGCTGTTCAGTACTCCCAGGTTTTCCAGTGGTTCTCTAACTGATGTCAGCTCATGATGAAATCCTCCATGAAATAAAACTGCTGTGTGTACTAATCTGTAATGTACAGTTGAACAACTTCTCAGTAGAAAACTTCTACTGTGGACTGATTATCATTTAGTTTCACTAATTCTGATCCTTTCACTTCAATAAGGATAATCAAAACATCAATAACATGAATGTTTTTTCTCCAAACAATGTGTGTCAGAAAAGATAAGGTGTTAAAACAGAAAATTTTAAACAAGTGCTGGTTTGCAGGGATTCTATTCGCTATAGGTTCGCTTACGAATTAAAATAAGTTACAGAACCACTGTGCGTCGGTGGCATAGAGGTTAGGACGCTCGCCGATCATGCACATGGTTCGGGGTTCGAGCTCCGGCCGGCGCACTCCTTTACCTCACTAAGCCAGAAATAATGCTAGTAAAGAGGAAAGGTTGGGCATGAGGCTAGCAACCCCATCCAGTAAAATAAACACTGCTACAGAAACTTCAAGCCACTAGCTTGAAGCCCTGTGTTCCCCTGGGGAACGTGAAGGACAAAAATGAGAACCACTGAAAAACGGAGCGTAGTAGACAGCTGTTTCTTCATAGTTTCGGACTGTTCAGCCTAATGCACCCATCGGAATCCGAATATATGACTAATTTTATTTAACCCCAAGTATGTAAGCCTTTATATATTTGTGTTGTACTCCTACACTTATTTTAGAATCATTTAAAACCAAAAATTATCAAAAAATAACAATATGATATATGAAGTAGTCTACAAGGCGCACTTCCTGAACGAGGTAGGGTTATAGTTCACATATGTAGTTCAAGTTGAAATATAATAAAATATATATACCTTTTTATATTAAAAGTCAATCTGAATGAAGAATATTCTTTTCAATAATTTCTCCTCTCCAGGTTCTCACAATTATAAAATATAATATATGTGGTCGTTACAATAAAGGTTTATCCGGTGGATACATTTTTAATGTAGAATAACAGATTAGTTATGGTGTGTCAAAATAAATAGTCGTATTTGTGTGACAAACGTGCTACGCTGAAATCGATTACAACATATTGTAAAACGGGAAACAGTGATGGTGATTAATCATAATAGATTTGTAGAGTGTGGGGTAGGAAAATTGACAAGTCAATTCAAGGTTATAAAAGGTGTCAGGTGGGTGGCTGGTGCAAAGGGGTCTGTGTTAAACAGGAGATAGTAAGACTGCTATGAGAGGTTCATAATGAAATAACGAATATGTGAAATGAAACAGGTGGAGGCGAACATTGAGAAAACAGATAATATCACTGATAATAAGTCCGGATAGTATAAATGAAAAATTCGATAGTATTGACGGAAT